CCACACGTTCGTCCCGTTCAAAGCCGTCTCGGAGACGCGAAAGCTCGCCAAAGACTTGTCGAACCTCGGCGCGTTGTCGTTCACGTCGAGGATCGTGACGGGGAGCATCCTCGAGGCTGACTTCTGGGGCTTGCCCAAGTCGTACACGCTTATGTTGAGGAAGTACTCGCTCTCCCGCTCCCTGTCCAGGTGGCCGATCACGTTCAGGTCGCCCGTGTCGGGGTCGATCTTGAACACGGAGTCCCGGTCCCCGGCCGAGACGCAGAACACCAGTTTCCCGTTGTAGTCCAAGTCCCTGTCCCTGGCGCGGATCCTGACCAGGGTCGTGCCTATCCCCACCGACTCGTTCGCCTTTATCTCGCTGGGGAAATCGACGAACTCGGGGGCGTGCACGTTCTCGCCGTATCGGCTAGGCGGGAGCGCGTACTCGTCGTCCTTCGAGGGCACGTTGTTCCTCTCGGCGGCGGCGATCGCCTCGGTCGCCCGGCGGGCGACGCCGGGGTCCCGGCGCTGGGGAGCCCCGCTCTGGTCCGACAGTATCCTCCCCTGCGAGCCCAAGTTCCTCTTCGCATTCACCAGGTGCACGTGGACGGGGTTCACGTCCGCGAACTGGGAGCCGTCCGTCGCGGTCACGATGACCACGCGCTCGGCGACCTTGACGTCGGACAGGTCGCAGGCGACGGACAGCACGCCGCTGGCCGCGTCGAGGGCGAAGCAGCCGTCCTCGTTCCCGGAGACTCTGCGATACCTGATGATGTTGCCCGCGTCGAAGTCGATGGCCGAGACGGTGATGATCTCCGACCCGATCGACACGTACCTCGGCACGTGGCCGGTGCAGTCGACCCTCCCGAACTGGGGCCTGTTGCCGTTCACGTCGCGCACCCTCACGTGCAGCCGCATCTCGGCCTGCCGTCTGAAGGGCATGCCCCAATCGCTCACCCGCACGTGCAGCAAGTACTCCCGCTTCATGGTCTCGTAGTCGAGCACCTGTTTCGTCTTCACTATCCCCGAGAAATGGTCGATCTCGAACGGCACCTTCTGGATGTTGTCGATGCTGTACGAGATGTACGCGTTCTCGCCCGAGTCACGATCCTTGGCGGTTATCTTCACGACCGACGTGCCCGCCGGCTCGTTCTCGTCGATCCACACCTCCATCTCCGATTGCTCGAACGTAGGATCGTTGTCGTTCGTGTCGACCACGTTTATCTTCACCTTGGCCGAGGATTGCTTCCTGGTCCCCGCGTTCCCCTGGTCCACCGCGGACACGGTCAGCGTGTAGAACGCCTTCTTCTCAGCGTCCAGGTTCACAGCCGTGTACAACATCCCCGTCTCGGCGTTCACGTAGAACTCGCCACCCTCGTTCCCGCCCACGATCTCCAGGAAAACAAGCGCGTTCTTCCCCTCGTCCGCGTCCGTCACCTTCAGCTGGATCACNGCGTGTTGACGGGCGCCGTCTCGGCCACCCTCACCTCGTATATCTCCCGGCTGAACACTGGGGCGTTGTCGTTCAGATCGGCCAGGTGGACGGGCACGAATTTGTAGCTGAAGCGTTGGGGCACCCCCCGATCCGTCGCGCGTAGAGTCAAGTTGTAGCCCTGCACCGCCGTCTCCCTGTCCAACAGGTGCAACACCTCGATGTTGTATTCCCCCGAGTGCGGCCCGCCGGCTGGACGCACTCTGAAGTGGCCGGCCGGGTCGCCGCCCACGATGTCCAGGCTCGCGATCTGACCGTGCATCCCCTCGTCGTTGTCGATCACCCGCACGATCGCGTAGATGTCCGCGTTCGAGTGCTCCACGATGTCGGGCAGGTGGTGCACGTAGATCTCGGGCGAGTGGAGGTTCACCTGACGCACCTTGATCGTCACCTTCGCCGTGCTGGCTCTGCTGCTGCCCCGGAACAGGGCACCCCGGTCCTTTGCCAGCACCACCAGTTCGTGGGTCGCTCGCTCCGTGTATCTGGACGGTTGATCGAGAGGATTACGAAAATACTTTTGATGCGTTCGAATGGAAGATTAAAAAGATGAAAAGGAATCGATAGGAAATTCTATCGGGTTGTTCGGAAAGTAATTTCGTTTTTTCGCACGAGTGTTGCTATTTATATAAGTCGAATCTTTATCCAGCCAACTTTCTAAACCGCGTTGTTATTATTACATCTTGAGCATTTTATGGTTTATTTGTAAGAAAAGTTAAATGTTTGTCCAGCCAACTTTCTAAACCGTGTTGGTATTATTATATTTCGAGAATTGGCATTTATTTATAAGAAAAGTCGAATGTTTGTCCAGCCCACTTTACTCTAAACTATGTTGTTAGTTATTATTATATTTTGAGAATTGGCATTTCATGTTCCATTTATTTATAAGAAAAATCGAATATTTGTCCAGCCAATTTTATTCTAAACTGTTATTATTATATTTTGAGAATTGGTATTTCATGGCATTTATTTATAAGAAAAGTCGAATGTTTAGCCAATTTTATTCTTAAACTGTTATTATTATATTTTAAGAATTGGTATTTCATGGCATTTATTTATAAGAAAATTCGAATATTTGTCCAGCCAATTTTATTCCAAACCGTGTTGTTATTATTATATTTTGAGAATTGGCATTTATTTATAAGAAAAGTCGAATGTTTGTCCAGCTAACTTTATTCTAAACTATATTATTATTATTATATTTTAAGAATTTGGCATTTCATGGCATTTATTTATAAGAAAAGTCGAATGTTTAGCCAATTTTATTCTAAACCGTTATTATTATATTTCGAGAATGTGGCATTTATTTATAAGAAAATTTCGTTTCGACAATTTTGGCATTAAAGACGGAAGAAGATTGAAGCGAATAACGACTCGAGAAATTATTGACCGAGATTGAATTCGTCAACAATTCGACCGCTCGCGATCGCACGAAACGACGTTTGACGTTCCACCAAAAAAAAAAAAAAAAAAAAAAAAAAAAAAGAAAGAGAAAAAAACGAAATTACCTTCCAATATCTCTCGCAAGAAACCTACCTGAGCGGCCTGGTGAGCGTTATTACCCCGCTGACCGGGTGAACGGCGAACTGATCCGTTTCCTCGGCCAAGCTGTAATAAATCTCCCCGTTCCTTCCGAGATCGGCGTCCTCGGCGATTACCCTGAGTATGCTTCGATGCATAGGCGTGTCCTCCGTGACGGTGGCCTCGTACTCGGTCGGGTAGAAGAGGGGGTTCAGGTCGTTCGTGTCCAAGATCGTGACAACCACGGTGGTGTCCGCCTCGAGTATCGTAACCAGATTCCTCCCGTCGTTCCTGTTCAACGTGGCGCGCACCTCGAGCACGTAATGATCCTTCCTCTCCCGGTTCAACACGTCCACG